CGGAGGAGTACAAGGCGCGTACCTCTTACTGGAAACGGCGTGCCAAGCTGCGCTCCTCCTCGGAGCAAAGCACACCGCCACCTCAGGGCTTGCGCCCGGCCCCCGAGGCTTCGTCTCCCTGGGTCTCCTTGACCTTGCCGCTCTCTTTCTCTCCCCACGTGGGCGACCCAGAGCTCCATGCTCCCGAAGCGCCAGCCCTCCTGCTCCTCTCCCGTTTTTCTCAAGCTGAAGATCCTAGTCGCAGTTTGGTGACGCCGGACACGCTGCGCGGACTGTTGCGTTACATCACCGGGAGTCCTTCCCCTTCCTCTCGCTGCCTTCGGCTGCTGCATCGTCTCACCTGCAACCCGGCTTGCCTGGAGCCCTTCGTGCGCTCCCATGGGCCCTCGCTCATCAGGGCTTGGTTGATCCTGGGTGTATCCCCTGAGCAAGCCACTACCACCATCACTGGTGAAGCAGAAGAGTGGGAGACCAGCGGTTCAGATGATCCCAGGAGATTCAAGGAACTTGGTGTGTGTGTGTGTGTGTTGCGTTATCCCCGTAGTTTAGGACAATCTTCTCCCAACTGTGACCGATGTATGACTCCCTTCATCCTAGCCAACATGCTTCCTTGGGATTACAGGGAGTCCTCGGCTTAACAACCCACAATTGAGCCCAACATTTCTGTTGCTAAGCAAGGCAGTTGTTAAGTGGAGCTTTGCCCCGTTTTGCAAACTTTCTCGCCACAGCTGTTAAGCGAACCGCTGCAGTGGTTAAGTTGGTAACACGGTCGTTAAGCGAATCTGGCTTCTCCACTGACTTTGTCAGAAGGTCACAAAAAGGATAGCAGTGACCCTGGGACACTTGCAACCGTCATAAGTATGAACCAGTTGCCAAGCGCCCCAATTTGGATCACGTGACCATGGAGATGCTGCAGTGGTCGTTAAGTGTCAAAAGTCCTAAGTCATTTTTTTCCAGTGCTGTTACAACTTTGAACGGTCATTAAACAAACGGTTGCAAGTTGAGGACTACCTGTATAGGAGTTGGATGTGTCAGACTACATCCCTAGGTTGGCAAGGCTGTCCAGAATACTGTAATGGGCTTCTGTCTCTATTTACTGGGAAGTCCTTGACCAGGGGTAGGCAACCTTGGCTCTTTTATGACTCGTGGACTTCAACTCCCAGAATTCCTGAGCCAGCCTAGCTCAGCTTGGAATCCTCTCCCTTTCCCCTCAGCATGGCTGGCTCAGGAATTCTGGGAGTTGAAGTCCACGAGTCATAAAAGAGCCAAGGTTGCCTACCCCTGTGCTTGACGTACGACCGCAATTGAGTCCAATATTGGACTCAACATTGGCCCACTTGCTAAGCATGACAGTTGCTAAGTGAGTTGTGTCCATTTTACTGTCTTTTTGCCGTGGCTGTTAAGTGAATCACTGAATTTGTTAAGTCGGGTGGTCATTAAGCGAATTCTGGCTTCCCCCCGTTGACTTTGCTTGTCAGAAACTGCCTTGAAAGGTTACCAGTGACAATCCCGAGACCACCATAAGTGGATGCTGGTTGCCAAGCTCCTGGAGTTTGATCACGCGGCCGGGGAATGCTGCAATGGTCCTAAGTGTGAGAACTGGTCCTAAGTCACTTTTTCCAGTGCCGTTGTAACTTTGAATGGTCGTTAAACGAATGGCTGTAAGTTGAGGTCTCCTGACATCGGCAAGACTCACGTTGGGGGATCTTCTAATCTCTGCTCTCTGCCCTAATGTCCCACCTCGCTGGGTCCTGGATATGGGGCAGCCACGGATAGAGAGACCATCTGTCTCCAAACTGGGCAACTTTAAGCCAGCCTGGCTTTGCTGGGGAATTCTGGGAGTTAGTCCACAAGTCTTAACAGTTGCTAAGTTTGGAGAGCCCTGATCCAGACTGAAGTGCTGGGACTCCTGATCTCTTTTTACTGTTACGAGGGGGGGGGGTGCTATCGACCGAGATTCAGGGGCTCTTGGCGACAGGATGGGGCCACGGGCCACCATTCCACGTGTTGAGCTGCAGTTCCCATGACCTCTTGTCTGTGATCCTGGTGGCTGTAGCTGAGGAGACCTGGGGCTCAGCAGCACGGGATGGGGAACGTCATTTGCCTTGTTGCTTGTCGGTCGAGAGATTGCCCGCGCAAATCTGTAACACACGCCTCTTGAGCTTAAAATGGAGCAGGAAGAGAAATGGGGGAAAGCCTATAAAGGTGGGAGGACGTATTCATTTACCCAAATCGTTCGCCGCTGTTCTTCCCCAGTACACTTTTACTATTTTACGTGGCGACACTGCATCTAACCCGCTGCCTTTTCCCCGCTCTGCAGGAGAGGCGCTCCTGATGAACCTCTGCGTGCAGGCAGAGTCCCCCTTTGGCATGGGGGTCCTCACCCACATGCTGCTGTCGGGCTGCGAATCGGACCAAGCGGCCTCTGCCCTGGCGCTGCCCCTCATCTGCCGGTGAGTTGGGCATCCCTTTCTGCCCCAGAAGACGCTTCGAGCTGGACTCGGCGGGCAAAACATTTTACTCCGCGGGTGGCTGTCGAAACGGCGGCAACCTTTTGGCGGGAGACCTAGGCTCTGGCTGCCTTCACAGGACTCAAAGGCCCAGCAGATAGATCTTAACCTGGGTGGTCTTTTTGCATCCGAGTATTGTGTGAACGCAACCTGTTGTGTTTAGGATGTAGTTCAGTGTAACAGGGAAACACAAATAATAAGTGAACGCAGCCATTGCATGCGGTTGTCTCAGGTTTTCTATTTAAACCAGAGGTTTAAAGATTGGGGGGGGGGAGTTGTTAGTGGCTCTGGAACCTCAAAGCAATGTCTGTGCTGCTTATCTTCAAATAGATGAGATGGCTAAACCAGGGCTTTTCAACCTTTTCACCCATTGTACCACTTTTAGGATATGGCAACATCCGAATACCACCAGTCGCCTAGCAAGGTGTCAAAAACTTGATGCCCCCCCCCCAAAAAAAGGAAAAAGTGATAAAGTACAGATAGTCCTCGACTTACAACAGTTCACTTAGTGACTGTTCAAAGTTACAATGGCACTGAAAAAAAGTGCCCCCCAAGCCACAGCCAAGCAAGACACCTGCCTGCCCACCCGGCGGCGCTCTTCCTCCTGTCCGAGGTTTTCATTGTTGTGAGCATTTCTGTTGAGGATTGGCAGCGGGGATGGGGTGGGGAGGGTGCTTGGTTTTTATTCCCCCCGTCTGCTGGGTGGTTGCAGCAGGTTTTGGTCATTTCACATGACCCTGGGACACTGTGACCATCATAAATATGAATCAGTTGCCAAGCATCTGAATGTACATCACAAGACCCTGGAGATGCTGCAACATTCCAGCTGATCGGCGCTTCTTCTGGGTTCAGCAGAAGCAGCAGGATCAGTCCTGCTTTCTAGCTGATGGGTGCTTCTTCAGGGCTCAGCAGAAGTGCCAGGATCAGCGCCGAGCTCCAGCTGGAGCCTGGCGCTGATCCTGGCGCTTCCGCTGAGCCCTGACAGCCATGCAGCTCCAGCCATCTCTTGCTCAGGCTTGTGCGGTGCTGCCACTGGTTCAGCTCATTTCCCCTCCCCCGCTACCACTTTCTAGGATGGTCGCGTACCACCTGCCAGGTGCCAATGTACCACAGGTGGTACCCGTACCACTGGTTGAAAAGCCCTGGGCTAAACGGTGGGAGATTTTTGAATGAGACTGGTATTGTGGGAGGCAACCGGTTAATGATGGTGCTACAATCTCACAGATCTGGAAGATGAGGGGAGAAAGGTGCATACCACCTGAGGTTGCCCCAAATTTGGGGAGAAATATTGTCAGGAGTGTGGGGCGGGGGGAGGGGGGATAGGAGAGAAATGTGATTGAGTTGCAACAAGCGGCAATGCTCTTTGTTTTGTCTTCTCTCTGCTGCAGGAAGGATTCTGCTTGTCGGAAGCTGCTGGTGGGCCTCTCTGGCCTGCGGATCTTGCTGGGGGTCCTGGTGCGGGACCCTGACCCCTATTTTGTCTTCTGTACCTCAGACGTTCTTTCTCTCCTCCTGAGCACCCCAACTCAGTCTCCTGCTCCTGTCTCGTCTCCCGCCTTGAAGCGGCCTCGCCTGGATTCCCCGCGGCCTTGTCCTTACTCTCGCCTCGTGGAGGAGGAAGGTGCGGCCGACCTGTTCTTTCAGCTGGATTCTGGCCGCAGAGTGCCAGCCGTGCGGCAGGCGGTCAGCGACGCTTCTGAGGTCTTCCGGGCCATGCTGAGCAGAGGCTTCGCCGAGTCGTCCCACACCAGCGTGACCCTTCGCGACGTGTCGCCGGAACCTTTCCTGGCTGTTGCCCATTTCCTCCACGGCTGTCGTGGCAAGCCCTGCCAGGTCTTGGGAACGCCGTTCCCCCTCGCTTTGGCAGAAGGGATCTTGGTGGTTGCTGAACAGTATCTCCTCCCTGACCTCCAGGCCTTGGTGGATGAGGCATTGTGCCAAGACACTCTCTGCCCCGGGACTCTTGGGGAAGTGTACCGGCTGGCTGAGCGGCAGAACCGGCCCCGTCTCCTTCAGAAGTGTGTGGCGTCCGTTTTCGTCCGGGAGGGGTCAACCCCCACCCGCCGAGCAGCTGCCCTGGCAGAGCTGCTCCGATCTGCTGCAGATCCCAGCGGTTTAGCTGCCAAGCTGCTCGGAGTGGTGCTGGAGTCTCCGTGGGGCAGTGGCTCGGAGGGCCAGCTAAGCTGACGGACGGGTCCTTCTCTCCTCTCCCCCCAGTTCTTACACACAACTGAAGCCCTGAGGTTGTGGATCGGGCGAGGGAGAGGACGGTTGGAGTATTAAGAGAATAAATGGCAAAATGCTCAGAAAAAGGGGAGTCTGGGTCAATGGATGGTCCTATAACCGTCAGCGGGGAGAAA